GACGATACGATTCGCAGTTTCTTACGAAATTTTAATCACTTTTCCGGTGAATTGTCATTGGAAATTCTTATATGTATCAACATGTTGAAAAGGTTGCTTTTAACATTTCAGAAACGTCCATCTCGCCGACCACCACATCAAGGGATTTATCACCAGAACCGCGTAAGTTGTTTGGTCTATGTGTGCTTGTAACGAAGAAATTCCGTGGAACACTTTGATTAATTAATTTGAGAAAAAGGTGATTTATGAGGAGTGCAGCATGTTCTTATAAGCTTCATTTATTCAAGAAAAGAAGGAAAACAAGTTTAAATAAATGAAGAGAACAAAACGAAAGAGGCGAACTCATTCTATCATTTGTCTATTCATACATAAGAAAAAATGCAACAGTACACAACTGTAGAAGAGAAAAAGAAAGAAAAAGGAACATACATGTATAAGCAGAGAGAAGTCGTAGGGAAGGTTGGAAGGAAAAGAAGAGAGCTAAGTAGAGATTAAAAACGTTGAGTGTCTTTTAGATAGTTGATAACAAGATGTAGTTGGCATATTTGAGAGTCATCAGTGTTTTGAATTTTCTGACGAAAAAGTACGTTTAATAGAGTGAAAGAGGTATTCGGGGCTACAGTAGACCAGTCAGTGTGGAGATTATTTCGATGTAGCTGGTATAGTGGACATTCCAAGAGAAAATGTCTCACCGTCTCTGCTTCACAAAACTTTGTTGCATGCAATTTTTTTTGAAATAAATCAAAACGAAGTGGAGCAATATCAACCTTCATCTGGTTTAATATGATGTCGTACTTTCGCAATCTATTATTTAACGTAGGCCATGTAAGTTGCGCAGAACCCAGGCATAAAACCCAAACGTCTGACGATACGATTCGCAGTTTCTTACGAAATTTTAATCACTTTTCCGGTGAATTGTCATTGGAAATTCTTATATGTATCAACATGTTGAAAAGGTTGCTTTTAACATTTCAGAAACGTCCATCTCGCCAACCACCCCGCCAAGGACTTTATCTTCAACAGCGAGTAAGTAGTTTTGTGCGTGTTTCTTTTCCCAATGAAGAAAGGTCATGAAAGTGCTTGATTAATTCGCCGATAGCCTTTCAGTAGATTCATAGCAATTGTTTTTGTTTTAAAGAAAAAGAATGACTTCTGCGTTTTTCTATCTAATTGTCTAATGGTGTCGTTTAATTCAGAAAGGTTGTCATTTTAATGAGAAATTATCAGATTCTTAAGTTATTGTCTTAACTCTTTGCCTGGCGCGGGTGCTTTGACGCTTAAAATGTACCAAGGCGTATTTTGGAAAATGTTGCTTATATTACCTGCCAGTATAGGGCATGGTATTTGAATATCCGGGTGCCAGTGAAAGGGTCAAAGGATATGTACTATAGTCTGACAGCGTCGTGTTTGACCCACAAAAAGTTGTAGCTTTGTTTGTTCTTGTAGAGTGTGCTTCTTCGGGTCAAATAAATGTTACATTTGACGATTTACCACCAATAACGCTTAATGCACCACTCCCGTCGTCCGATTACAGCAATTTGATATGGACGAATGCGCACTATATTTACCGCCGTTGTCTTCTATGTCCCAACCTTGGATATCCGATACTTTGCACATCGGGTGATTACGTGGGCTGGTTTCAAGGTAATCAAATGTTAACTATTCAACCAGAGTTGGGTTGTACAACATTTACATTCATTTCTGTATTGATGATTGCTTCAAGAAGAAACGAAGTAACATTGATTGAAGGTTATTATAACAACACACGACTTTATAGACAAACACTTTCGCTAACTAAAACATCTAAATATCTATTCGAGCCTGGTTGGTCTAATATCGATAAGATTACAATGGTTGTTCCTGGCGGACAGAATATTTTTGATGATACAGGTATAGAAAACTTGTTTATCAGTTATGCCTCGCCGACCATCACGTCAAGGAGTTTATCTTCAACAGCGCGTAAGTTGTTTTGTGCTTGTTTGTCTTTGTAACGAAGAAACGTCGTGGAACACTTCTCGAAGACTCCGCAATTAAAAATGACATTAAATTGATTAGGTTACATGAAATGTCGAATTTCAACATCTCTGCCATGTTGTTCGTCTCTCACGCCTGTATTTAGGCTATGAACGTAGCTTGTCGTACATAGTCAGATTAAACTCCTCTTGCAGCAGATTTAATAAGTAGTTTATCAGTGGTTGTGGTAACTCTTTTATGCGGATATATCCAGAGGAACGTTGGT